CCTAAACCCTCAAACCGTAAACCTTTTTAAAAGTCCAGCCTCGCAGTTCCATCATCAGAGCCGCTGCCTCCACATCCACCTCCGTACTCTGGCTCTCCTCGTGCCTCAATGTAAACCATGAAAAATATCCCCTCTCCTTTTAAGGGCCTGAATATTAGGATCCCGGCTACATCCCCGTTAAAGGTAGGATGTCTAGAAATCACGAGTCTAGATTAGCCCAGACTCTTGGGAGGATCCAGAAACTTAATTCCCTTATTAAGGGTTCCTAGAAATTTTCGAGAAGTAGTAATTATGGAGCACCGTGTTGGGATTATACTTTCTAGATGCTCCCAGGGGTCGGGGAGTAAGTCTGAAGGTTTCCGTTTAATGCTTCTGGGATCGTTGTCAGAGACGAGGGAGGAGGTCAAGCTTTAGGAGCTAACCTTTCAGAGGAACTCCGCTCTGTTAATGTTTAAACCGCTTTCGGGTTGGTGACTTTTGCAGAGGAAGCCGATAAGGCAGTTTCCATAAACAAGGGACCCCAATATAAACACGAAAATATGATCCTCCTAATATTCTATGGGGACAGTCGAAGAGATATCTGGGAAAAACCTATACGTGTGTGGCTTCGACTCTTTGATGCAAGGCGCATATTCTGCAGGCCCCTCCGAATCCGGAGCGCCACAGCCTCGATGTCTCCAATCTCTCGGAGCTCTTTGTCGAGGTCCTAAACCATAAGCCCTGAACCCTAAACGTTCTCGGTGGGAGCTTAGGATGCAAGTTCCTCTGCCTACTTAGAGCGCAGGTTGCGGGATGACGGGAACCGGGATGCCATCAAATCTAGTTTGGTCTATGGAGGACGAGCTGACCATTTGGCAGTCCAGCAGAGCATGATACAGCCCCTGATTGATCGATCTCGTGTCTTGAGGATCTAAATCCGCATGGTACGATCCCCATTGCGACCCCTATTTAAGAACCATGGTTCAGTAGGTGTATGCTCCATCACCCAGAGGCAGTTGACAAGGTTATTCTTTTGCTGAGAACGGTCAATGTTCCTACGATACACAACCCAAGCGTCGTTCATCTCAAAGCTCAAGCCCACAGCTCCAAACCTGAATCGCTAAGCCTGAAACTCTACACCTGGCAACCCCTAAACAGGATCCTTACATTACCCAGCTAAGGTCCTGCCGCTGCCACGCTGGTTTGTGGCCCTCGCCTGCTTCGCTTCCACTTTCATCCAGCTGGGCGCTCGCTGGGTCGACGCTTTGTGGTGCCCTCTTCCTTGGGTGGATCAAAGGATCTTGGTTTAGGAATTATGGATTGAAGATTAGGGTTGAATGATGGAGGACCAGAGTTTCAGTTTTAGGGCCAGGGTCATAGATTAGGGTTTGGGGAGCTTGCATAACGTAATGGACATGGCTACAGGCCAGTGAAGGCCTCAGGGCTTCTGACTGTAGATCACACTCATAACTATACTCCAAATCCGATTTCAAGATACCCTTGTGTATGATCGTAGGTGCTCGTGGTCAAAAAACATGTTACCCCTAATCTACCCCAATATATACTAGAATCCCTCTATGGGACCCCCTCAAGAAAGTAACCCCAGCCTGTGGATGTCCTACAACCCTAATAACCGTTACCCATGAAGCTGTTTATGGCTGAACTAGGTCAAAGCTGTCGCCTGAAGAGTGAGTGGGACCCTGAACCCTAGCGCGCCAAAGCAAAGCCAGGCATTAGGATTTAGAGTGGAGGGCTTCAGGTTTTAATTAGAGGTTGGGGCCTTTTTAAGATCTAGAGGGTGTAAACCCATGCTGAACATAGAACGAACGCATCTGTGGCTGCAAGCGTTCATCAAGTGTTAGGTAGCGTGAAGATACAACCCTGGCTCATGCCCCGCATGGTCCGAAAATCCTTGATGGGGACCCCTGTAATGTTAGTCTAAAGGCTAGAAGCCAGTATACTCCAATCCTTGTCATTGTGGTCTTTTCACATGCGAGCTGAAGTAATCATATGCTAGATCACATAGAATGCACCACGTACGCCCAACCTTCAGAGGGTCTCCCAGACGAATCCTACACTGAATACCCCAAACTCCTAAACCCCAATCCCCAAGCCCCAATCCCAAGACTCCTCAACTGGATACTCCAACTTTCTGAAACCCAAACCCTACAACCCAAGGTGAGCAAGCATCCTCCTGGGCTCCTCAGCCACCGCAGCCAAAGCTGGCTCGTCCTGCTGCCAAGACAAACTCTTCAGCATCCAGTCTTGTAGCGTTTAGGGTCATAGGGTTTGGGGTTTAGGATGCAGTTTAGTTGGGGGGTTCCGGTATCCTGACTATGTGCGGTGAGCATACAGAATTGGGGATAGCTAGTGGCTGCATCAACGTTGGCAGTCCTCGCCCGGTGATGCTTCCACAGCTCGCACGGCACCAGCATCCAGTGGCCTCGCAAATGCTAGCATGCCACTTGGAGGTTATAGCTAGTCATCCGTGCACGGGTTTTAAGTCCGCAAGTTTAAGCCATATCTGCAGATAGTTAGCCTGCACACAAGATCAACCATGTCTTCGTCGCGCGATCAATATTTCGGCTACTGGTCCTTCTGCTGCTGCTGCTGCTGCTGCTGCTGCTGCTACTGCTACTGCTACTGCTACTGCTACTGCTACTGCTACTGCCACTGCTGCTGCTACTACTACTACTACTACTACAACTACTACAACTACTACTACAATACTACCACCACCAGCACCACTCCCACTATTCTGATGCTCCTGCTACAACTGCTCATGCTAACAAGGAAACTTCTGCTACTGCAACCGTCCGCACTGCCAACCGCTTTGGCATACTGTGCTTCAAATTATGTTTCTAGCTCCAAGCAAATGGCCACGTACGTCGGCTCTTCCAAAGAGTGCTCAGTTGCTTGTGCAAAGCCTGGGAAATCATACTTGAGGGACCCCCTTTTCACAAACAACGCCCTAACTCATTCACTCATGCCACTTGATCTCGTCCAGCTGCGCTTGTGGAGCGGCCACGGGCATGCGTGTGCGAGAGCCCATCGCACTGGTTGGATATTCCTGCCACGTCGCAGGGAAACACAAGGAAGTGCAGGGGATGCTTCTTCTTTTCGCTGTCAAGCCCAGAAATTCTGAACCCCAGAAAGGCAACATGTGACTAGAACTTTCTGAAACATGATCTGCATTCCAATGCAACAGCCTGGGCCCCATGGCGGGATAAATGCAGAGTACCACATCTGCCCAACTTCTTGAGCAGTGAAGGCTCACATCTACGTTGCCACCAAAAACCTACTTCTAAGCTGCTAAGCGATTGACCTGATCAGGTCTAAGGCTTTGGAGTTTTTGGGCTCTACTAAACAACTTCATCCTGTTCTTCTCACAAGGCCTAGGCTTCAAGGAGCACGGTCAATTGATGCACTTCCTACCATGTTAGACACGAACACCTAAGCCACAAGTCTTTTCCACGTGGCGCTGATGGGAACCTTGGGAAGGCTTTAGGATTGGGCACGCTTTCCTCCACAATCAGGTCGTGTGCGGGGCCTCCAAAAGGGCCCTTGCCGCCCGGGCCGCCACCGAAGGCTCGCCACCATGAGCGGAAGCAAAAGCTGCAGCGGCGGCAGCGGCCTGCTACATGCGTTACACGTCTCGTGTCAGTGTTGCTGAGTGGAGGTTCCAATGAGGAGAGCTTTGTATAAGGGGAACATAAGGGCTATGTAGGATGATGCGGTTATGAGGGATTGCAACAGCAGTCTTCTTGGCAACTCGCCTCCTCTAGTTGTCTAAGCAAGTATCTTTGACATAGCAGCCTTGACAGCTAACAATAGGCAGATCCAGGAAGCCCTCCACCTCTTCGTTGTTGCTTTCTTGCCCCTATCATCATGGTAGCTACATACGGATGGTACCAAGCATATCAATTGCCCGAAAAGAGAGCAGGTGGTGTCACCCTGACCAACACCGGTCTATCTTGAAACAGGCCCCGGGACTTAAAGCAAAGGGAGAATTGGGGAACAGGTTGTTCTATCTAAGTACCGATACCCCCCTGCCTCCTTGGCCGCCTCGTGTGGGGAGCGGTTGGCGCCCAAGGCCCCATCCCCCGCCGCGCGGCCGGCGACCAATGCAGCGCTGGAGGCAGCGGCCTGTGGGATGAGAGCACTGAGAGCTGTTGTGAGGGGCTTCTAGTTATTTATGAAATATTGCTAAGAATTTTTTTTTAAAAAAAAATGTGATAGCAAGAGGCCCGTAGAAGGGCTCATAGTTCCTTGTGCCGTGAGAGTTCGCGAGAGCTACTGTTCTGATGGTCCGGAGGCATGGGTTGGAAAGACTGAGGCGCACCAGGGAAACCGACCAACCTAGACACTATAAAGGCATGTAGGAGAACAATAGGGGGGCTTAGTAAGTAGGCTGATGGCCTTTATATCTCGTATCATAACCCTGTTTATCCAAATTATGAACCTACTTACCAAGTCCTCCTGACCTTCCAAGGACTCATGTTTGATAGCCTTTCACGGTTTCGGGCGAACATTTTTTTGAGGTCCAAGTACTATTCTCTAGGGCCTCCCTGCTTTGAAGCACCCTTTTGAGGCTGCTGGCTTTGCGCCAGACCATGCCTCTTTGCTGAAACCATAACTCTCCAGCAGCCGGGCAGCGGCCTTGCAGTCAGGCGGTTCTCAAAACAGAAATATCCTTGCGGACGCTTGAGGGATATATGCGGAGAAGAAGAGGATTGCGCTGGGTTTCTAAAAAGGGATCGTTTCCAGACCCCCTTCATCTTGACAACGGAAGACTTCTCTTACACTGCACACCTGCGCGGCCTTCGAGGGTCGAACAAGGAGATGAACACTCACAGCTAGAAAAGTGGGCGTACCGACCCTAAACCCTAAACCCTATATGACCCTTGTAATAGCCCCTATGCAACTTATATAGCACCAGAATCCTTGCTGAGGACAGACTAGTCGTTTCCATGCATAGCACTCCACAGGGGCCTACCGGTTGGGCTCTCTGAGCCCGGGTCCAAGCCTACAAGCTGGAGCCCAGCGACCGGCCCAACCCAAAGAAGTACGACAAGCACGGACGCAAGATTGCTTTTTGGAAGAAGAGCCTCTAGGAATCCCAGTCTGCTTCATTGCCATCTGGGTCCATCGTGGAACGTTGAGCCCCTTCACCGGGCAAGGCAAAACCTTGTTGCGGCCCCCCTTCTCTGCCAATAGCAAAATTTGCAAGTAGTTTAGGTCGCACCTATAGTAGTACCTGTTTGAAGTCTCCAGGCGCCATCAAACCCTGCTTCTATGTAATGCCAAGAGCACACCAAACACGGGTCCAATGCGTATGTATGCATGCCTCTCCAGCGCTCTTGGCAGCAGCATCACGGGGTTGGCCCTGAGTGATCACTCAATCGAATAAATTGATTCTCACAGTCCCAAACGACAATTCCGCGTCAACCCTCATCCTCACAAGGCAATTACATCAACTCGGGGTGTCTCATTGCAGCCTGCTACGTTTCATTCAAAGGGACTTACTTGCGGGGTTTGAGCAACGTGATAGGTTGAAGAAAAGGATGTCCGGGACGAGCTTCTTGCATGAGGTGCCTGAAGGCCCGGAGTTTCCCGCGCCAAGAAATGGATCCCTGTAAACGGACTTTTTCCGCATTCAGTGCAGGTAGACATTTCCAAAAAAGTTAGGCTTTCACAGGCTCGTACTGTGTGAAGGCCTTCTGGGAAGAGTTTGGGAGCACCATGGGAACTACCGAAGTATGAACGACCCGCCCCTTGAGGAATGAATGATGCAACTGCCCCAGAGGAGTCTTATAGCTGTTAGACTCCTTAGATAAAGGCCACCTCCGTTTCAGACATGACCGGCAGCGCTTGACCCTCGACCTTCGGCCATCCCGCCTTACCCCTGAACTGCCCCAAATCCTGAAAAGTAGAATACTTGAAAACCACCCAAAACGCGGAAAATTCCTCAACAAAGGCCCCAAACCCCCAAACCAACGCCTAGATCCTTAAACTCCTAAGCCCCCCTGAACCATGAACCCTGTTAGCAAAACCCCTCAGCCTTCGACAGCGCACCAGCGGACGCAGCCGCTCCGCTAGCCAAAGCAGCCACCTCCACGGCGGCCTCGACAGGGTTTTTAAATATCATTGTACTAGTAGTGTTCTTTTCAACATTTTCTGGGTCGTTGTTGTGTAGAGTGTTTTCAGACAAGTACTGTAGTACAGACTTTTGATAGTACCTCAACAAGGAAGGAGTCGGAACAGGCAAACCCAGAGAAGGCCGGTCAAGTTGAAGTGAAATCTACTTTTCCGTCAGTCGGGGCCTGATTGGCGATTAGGTACAAAGAACACAATCCAGCATGGACTTCGATGACTTCAGAATGGAATGAACCCAATATGCTGGATTGTGCAAACTCGAACCAAACCTGTCTGGATCCAGCCTTTCGGTTTATGCCTTGTGACTCCGCAGCTTCGAAGCCATGCGTGGCTGCTGCGGCAGCAGCTGCACTAACTGGCTTCCCCACGATGAAGGAAGCTTCCGCCGCAACAGCGCCTGCTGCCAGAGCCGCACATTTAGCCACCTGGCTGATAGGTAAGCGAGCATCCAATGCGGCAGCTGCAGCTGCTTGACCTGCTGAGGCTGCCGTCTCGCTCAGACTTGCACCTTTCGTGAGAAGCACTCTGCCCGAAAACATACCAGCACTGATGGATGCATGGTAGGGGGCTTTGTCTGGGGCCAGATGAGCGCCCATCCATGCAAGCTTCGCTGCCTTGGCTGCCTCATCAACTGCTTCCTCCAAGTCCAGGCGCCTGTCTAACGCCTCCTGCCCTACAAAGCGCGCAACTGCTGGAAGTGCCACCTCGCCTGCAACTTGGGGGAACATCCCTGCCAGCCGTCCAGCTGCCACTGCACAGTTCCCTGCAGCTGCTGCTGCCTCTTCCAGATTCGCATCCTTGAGACCCAGGCTTTGCTCGAGAACGTACCTGGCAACCATCGTCACTGCAGCGGTGGCTGCCACGCCAGGGCTCATTCCTGCCTCAAGTGCTTTGGCAGTGACTGCGCGACCTTCGCTGGGTATTTTTCAAGCATCCAAAATTCAAGAACAGCCCTGGATGGGTACACACCATATGGGATTGTAAGGGTAGTACCCAGATTGACTACTCACCTGGAACTCTCCTTGATGTACTGCCTTAGAACCTTGTGCCAGCCAAGCCGCTGGCAACCGCAGCAGCCTCTTCCAGAGGCTTCCCAGCGGCGGTGGTTACGTGCCCGGCAGCTACTCCAGCATAGAGGCCAGCGCACTCCTGGCTCAAAATTATTGATCCCTGTTGGATCTTCTCAACATGGGAATTTTTGAGGGACTGCACCAGAAAGAAGGAGTTTATAGAAGGATGATACATTCAGGGGTGCAGTGTGAAGGATCATGCAGGAATCATTTTGAGAAACTCCTTGCCTAGATCAGTGGGCACTTCCCTCCTTTTCACAATTAATATAATACATAAGATGGCTGCTCCAAACGGCACCCTCCATAGAACTTCCCTTACAGCAACCCAGTAAAAATGCCCTCCCGCCCTCATACTCACACTCCAAATTCCAAAACAGCAAGGCAAAGATCTCCTGAGCCTTCTCGGGAGGTAACCCAACTACCAGCGCGGCGCGGCTAGCAGCGGATGCGACCTCAAAAGAAATCAGCAGAATAATGATAATAATGATAACAGCAATAGAAATAATGCTAAGAGTCGCAAGAAGTAATAGGAATGACATAACACAATGACAGCATTTTAAAGAACCATGAGAATACTAGCCTACAGTGGCTCAACTGGATTAACGGAAATCATTTGGTAAATCCTTTGCTAGCGATGTACGCAGGACCTCATGACTCATTCCAGCATTCTAGTACCGCTGATGTTCCTTCGAGAGTAGGATAACACCAGAAGAGGGTTCAGAACGGCGGAAAGGTTTGGGGGATTGGTAGGAGGCTGATTTGGGAACTCCCTCGCCCAGCCTGCAGCGCCGCATCCTCCGCAAAGCAGCAGGTTGCCATAGCGTTTGAGGTAGCTGCACGCCCGGCGGCTGAGACAGCCAGGGTCTGAACGTCGTGGAAGCGCATCTTCTGTCTCTGGCCCACTTTAGCAGCTGCAGTAGCTGCAGCCTCAGGAGCTGCTCCTGCTTCTCCCTGCAAGAGCTTTGCGCAGGCTGCTGCATGGGCTGCAGACTTTACAGCACAGTGTTGCAGTCGCTCCGTGCTTGTTTCTGTGAGACCTGAGACCTTCTCCACAATCCGCTGTGATGTTGCCAACACGTCCTCCAAGGGTGTGGAGGCCGTGAGGGTAGCATCCAGCACGGCCCAAGTTACAGCTCCACTGATGATGTCAGCAGCACGGGCTGGTGTCAGGCCCACGGCATCAGCAGCCTGCAGACCAAGTCAGAAAGGACGGCTAGTCGGATCACAACATGAGGGATCTGGTTCGCTTGACACCTTTTGTCTGCCCGTACTTTCAGGCTCTGACCCCAGTACTCAGATGCTTCTGGCGTGGCATCGGCCGCTTGGGTCTCTGCTATGGCACATGTTCTCAGATGCCCGCCTGAAGGCCGGCAATACAGGCTTCCTTCATCATGGTCGTGTGGTCCTGCATTGGGCCGAGTTCTGGTCACTACCCTGTGCTGGACTGCTTCAGAACATCTTCTGACCCACAGGCCTCCGCCTTAAGAAGCTCCGACCCAAAAATCTTGACATCATTCTGATCAGGACATCCGCTGAAGGCTAGGGCAGGGATCTAGATACTTCCGCATCATTGTCATAAATAAAGAATGTCTGAGGCTTGCCAACATCGTGCCTCTGCCCGGTAATTGCAACAAACCAGACACGCAGAACTTTAAACCATGAGCACTAGGCCTTAAACCTCAACCCCTACACATCCCTCTGTCATACTACAGACCCTGTACAGCACCGATATTCCGCTTGAAGAAATCGAAATTGAAGGTTACTTCCCGAGGCCTTGCCAGCTGCTGTGGCAGCACGGACAGCATGGACGGCGGCGGCAGAAGCAGCCGCCTCGGCCGCCTGCCGAGCACATGTAACCCTTAAGCCTTAAGAGCGTAAGGGAATAGAGATCTGGGGTGTAGGGCCTGTGGTTTCTGAAAAACATGGGTCCCCATATGGGACGTGTTTTGAATAATTGCGCGAAATTGAAAACACAGTATCATACCCTGCATGTACATCTAAGGCTATGCTCATGGAAAATGGACAATCGAGAGCATTGTCCGTTGGGGCGAAAAAAATCAGAACTACGTCGTTCATACCATTCAGGTATCGTCCTATGTTATGCTTGCTGGCGGGGTGTTTTTCCGCGCCGGGACCTACTACTACTCCTCCTACTCCTACTCCTGCTGCATCTTCTATTGCTATCTCCACCAGTACCACCACCAGTACCAGCATGAGTAGCACCACTACCATTACTAGCTACTACTCCTACTGCTACGCTGTCCTACATTGCTGGCCTGGCTAGCTGATAGCCCTGCAGAGGCTGCTACTCCCTGCGCCACGGGTGCCAGGGACAAGGCGACTTCTGCAGGCTCAGGCAGAGCTTCCGTCTGAGGCCTGCAAACTGAGGGAGCCTATCTGAATTAGTGCAGAAGTATCGGGCTCTATGGCTGGGGTTGGAACCATGTGCAGAAGAGATCCGGTCTTGGCGACACCACCGCATTTGTTGAGAAGAGGTGGTGCTAGTTGCATTGGGGTCTGGATCTGCAGTTGTGACACAGGATTCGTTCGGTCAACTTGAAGGGTTGTGTTGGTATCTTAACGCACTGCACAAGACTCATGAGATCTTTCTCGGCCCCTGCGGGTTGGATAATGGTGCTGATGGGGCTCTATGACATGATGGACTGACTGCTTATTTAGCTGTGGAGGGCGACTTCAGAGAACATGAGCACCACAATAAGGCTTCAGTACACAATGCAATCAGAGCTGCAGGATTTAGGCCTTACAGCCGTGCAAGACTAGTAGCAAGGGCTCAAAACCGCTCGAGTCTGACACACGATCTAGGTGGATCCCCGTATGGGAATGGGCATCATCCACTTGTGGCATTGAATAATGGAAGAGCGCACTGCATCATCCAGCCTCGTCTTTAGCAGCACCCTCGCAGCGGCCTCAATGCCAGCGTCGACTGCAGGGCCTGTGCTGGGTAGGCTATCATGCCAAATGACCTGTCAAGCGCTCACGCTCACGCGCGCACATGCACACAAAACATGGTCGAAGATTCTAGTAGCCCGTGGTGGGCCCAGCAAACGCCTCACAGCTACCAAGAGAATCTCGGCAATATTGTTAGTCTGGAGTTTGCATTCTCTACTTGTCATCCGGAACTCTGACACCCTTCAACCCACAAATAGAAATCAAGCCGCAAGCTTGCCATGAGTAGTGCAGAAGCCGAAACAGCAGTCCACATCTGTCATTTTCCTTCCTGCCTAAATGCTGAAGCACAAGCTGACAAAGGTCTGTATTTTGCTGGGGGACCAGGGGACCTTCTACACAAAACCGAATTCCATCTGGATTCCTATAGTAAAATTGCCTGGCCTGGCAGTAAACCAGCGGCGAGTCCCGCCTTGACGCCAGCAGCCCCTGGAGCTCCAACTTGTGGGGCTGTCAAAGGGATGAGAATGGGACTCCATGAACCCCAAATCAGGATTCCATATTGCAGGTCCTTTTCTCAAACTCTCACTTGCAGTCCCGGCTAGTGGGTTTCAATCACTGCGGGGTAAACGCCGAATGGTCTGAGGTGCAGACTAGCCTACGGCTGCGATTAGGGATGCAGCTTGCCAACACGTGTTTTACAATCTACGCGGAGCTAGCTGTGCCGATACACGGACTGAAAATCCAAAAGCAGTTTCAAGGCAAATCACCCTAAACCCTAAACCCTAAATAGTAGTTTCCGTTTTCTTTTCCATTATCCAAATATAACCCCACTGATCCCCAGAAGGGAATGGTCCTTTAAATTTTGCGCATACGGAAAGGTGAATACGAAGTCTGGCGCCAACGTGAGCAACAATCCTCTACCGTGCACAAGCCACATGAAACACACCTATTGCTTAATCTCCTCCCTGCATGTAATAACAACCACCGT